GGACTTATAATATCTCTCCATATACATAGCAGTATTCTTTTACACTATGCTCCTATGTAACCCAAGAAAATAAAACTGATAACTGAGGCACTTGTTAAACTCAACCATTTACATCATTTGGGCCACAGGAGCAGGTCTCTTTTGAATACAGGTTTGTATGGCCGACGTCCCAGGTTAAAGGTCGTTCTACTTTTGCGGGAGACACTATCTAATCATTGTGCATCATCTGCGGTACACCTGCGAGTATTCTTCGAGAACGTGGCCCAGCCAACGGTCCCGCTAACCTTTGTCGTAACATCAACAATTAATTGCATTTTCAGGAACCTGCTCAGCTTTGTATGGAGGGGTTGTTTGGATTTCCTAGAAGCACGTCGCTCTACAGGTTTTCTATTTTTTTGTATTTTCCCTGCAATCCATAGCAATAATGGAATTATTGCGAAAACTTAATGAGCTTGCTGTTCCGAACTGATTTCATGTCTCAAGTGCTTGTCGAAGTAGCATCCCATACAATTATATGACATATTTTATTTATTAATACAGAAAGTACACTCCCGTCTTTGTGAGTGAGAGACATCTCGTCCTTTTGTGTTTTGTCTTCAAGGACGAGCTGTTGGGTACATTTTTTTTAGATGTCTTGTCCTTGACCAAAAGCTGAGTTTAATGAGGATTCCCGCTGTGGAGCTTTTAGAGTCACTGCCTCTGTGTTTTCAGGACAGATTTTTTTTTGGTGTGTAAGAATGATACACAGAAAGAGGAAGGAGAGAGGTGGTGAAGGAGGATCAGCGAGAAATGATCGAGATTTCATCACTTCATACCTCTTTAGGCCTTTACACATTAATTCACACATTGATATATTACTTTCCACAAAGAACACAAATATTCTCCTGCGAAGAAGCGACATAACCTTTTATCCCGGGACAAGTTTGATTTTTCTGAGCTATTGCACTGCGAGTAAAGGCATCGACCAATCACATTGTGCGGAACGGGTTGAGCTGCGTGGAGGCCCTGAAGTCAGAGCCAAGACGGCAAACTTTATTGCGCTTTTAAACTATTTACATTGACAGCGCAGACCAGATCCACTCTTTGGTTTTTCACTTTCACATTAAAAGCTCTATATAATAACGTATTCTAAAATGATTACCACACATTTTTGTGTGGTTTATTTGTCACCTCCTCCACTGCTTAAAGAAGTAGATTTTTCTTCCCCTGTCTCTCTCTCGGTCTATATCTCTCCACCACTCTAACTCTTTGCACCTTACCTCCTCACATCCCAAATCTTCTCATTTAGATTATCCCTACCGCAGTGAATATAACTGAGTAGTAATGGATAGTTTGCATGGGCCTCTCTCTCTCTCTCTCTCTCTCTCCCTCTCTCCTTTCCTCCCTCCCTCCCCTAATCTCCTCCATGTACATGACACTAATGCAGCGACTGATATAAGCTCCCCTGCCTCTCTCTTTGACATTTATCACCGTGCTTCTTAATGCAGACAGGCTGCTGCTGTTGATGAGAAATAAGGATGACAAGCGTGGCCTATTTTCTTGCTAACGATATCCTCCCTGCTTATTTTGTGTGCCCCCCCCCCCCCCGAAAGAAAATGTTTTCACAGAACCGTGTTTACCAAAGCGTTTCATTGGGGCGGGTGGCGGCGATATGACACTGACGTTGATCATGCTCCCGGCACATTTTTGTCAGAGCTAATCCACGATCCATTACTGTTTTAGATTGTAATAAGTGATGTCAGAGAACGCCTGCACAAAGCTTCTATCTGATCAAATGCTTTTTCCCCTACTGTGCATAGATGTATTTTTAGCACTTTCGTAACGCATTAAATGCCATAATGTCATGGTGAACCCGCTTCCACTGATCAGCATGGTGGACCCGTTTACCTACTGTACCTATTTGACAGGACAGTAACAATAAATCTGTGTCAAAGTCATACCTGGTGTTATATTAACAGATACTTGCCATGCCTCAAAGAAATAGTTTGACTTTTTTGTGCCATGAGTATGAGAAAGTTGAGATCAATATAAATCTCATGTCTTAACATTAAGTATGGAGCCTGAGCCAGGAGGCGATTAGCTTACTTTTGCAACAAAGTACGAGGAGAAAGCCAAACAGCGTGACTCTGTCCTACTACACCTCCCAACACCTCCAGAGCTCGCTGACTGGCATGTTAAGTCCCGGTTGTTTAAACAATAAAACTACATCTGCAAACAAGCATATGTCCTGAAATGTCAAACTAGTCCTGTAAATCTATTTCTGATAGTGGAAGCAGACTCATTTTCCTGTTTGTAAATGCAAACCAATTGAGGGCCGTCAGAACTGCTAGTTGGACACTTGAATAGCTTTGTTCTGTCCTGTGTGTTACCAAAAATCTACATTTTATATTCCTTTTTTTTTGAGTTTCAAAAGTACATTACTCAAAGTACTCAACTTAAATAATGTTAAGTTACGTAGTCTAGTTTCGAAGACTTTACTTTGTTAGGTTTGGGTTACGATAAATAAAGAGTTTTGTTGCCTAAACCTATGTGGCACCAAGGGGTCCTGACCAAGTGTCCATAGGTGACGAGTTGAGAATGAGAACGGGTTGGTCCATCCCACTTTTCCCATTCATTGCCATTCACAGACCTTGTAACTCTCATGCCTCTTGGTTAAGGATGCATGGAAGTTACATGTTGTGTTGCTGTAGTCGGACAATTTATGTTCTGTTTCATATAAGTGGAATAAAAATTTGATTATTACTTGCCATGTGAAGAATCCGTCATCAAGTGAGAGGTGTTTTTCTTTTTATTCTTGGCCTAAGCCACTAGTCAGTGGATAGGTAAGAGCTCACTAGTTCCTTTACACATGATCACTTCTGTTACAGATCAGTTATCTTCCCCCGGGTTTGGACTTTGAGATTCGAGTGAAATCAGGCCGCTCCTGCATGTGACCCATCATTTATTTTAAAAATAAACCAGCCAACCTTAATGGACCTTTGAAGGAGTATTGTCTTTACAGAATGATAGGATTTTTCAGCACTTGATTAATGGAAGACCGACAACCACTAAGTTCCCATCACAAAGGGCTATTATTCAGCTGCCTTTCACTCTGGCTTTTGACGAATACCCCGAATGCCTAAAATATAAACGGCACAACAAATATAAATAAAAAATTTTGGCTCGACATTGTGTTTACCTGCCAGTCTGTAAGTTTGCGGGGGGAGAAAAACTAGGACAGGCAGAGTTGGATTCATCATCCTTAATGCCTTCTGCCACTTCAATTGGATATCACCAGACACTGTCCCCGAATTTAGACATCATATCATGTCCCAAGAGCCCCGCCTGGTTTCGCCCCAGCCCGTCTGTCTCACCCTGGCATAACCCTCTGGCACCCCCCATGCAGGACCTGACCAAGATGGTGTTTGAAATCGAACTGATACCTCTCCTTTTCTGCTCGTCTCTTCTCCTCCACCGAAAACCTCCTGCTACTTCTCCTTCCTCTCTTATCTCCTCTCTTTATTTCTTTTCTTCTACGCCCTCAGAATTAACAATTTGTACGAATCACAGGCTTTCAATCCCGGCCCTCTTTATATGTGACACCCCCCCACTGGTTTTGTTAACATAACCCTTACTTGCCAGCACCTTACAGATTATTATTTTATGTCCGACGCGAGTCCCTCGCTGGTGCTGCCTAGGCACGTAACCCCCACACAGTGCTCATTTCAGCCAAGCTGAGATTGTTTGATTGGCATTCACCGCTGTGTTTGCCAGGAGCGCTGGCAGAACCTCGCTGTTATTTGCATAAAACAGGAAGGGGTTGAAATTTCCCTGCTGCTGTCCTCGTTGCACCCCCGAAGAAAAAATCAGCATGCGATTCACACACAGACAAAAAAAAGAGAGTGAAACATTAGCTGGCCTGCTGCAGCTCTGCACTCCAGGCTCAGTGCTTCTCCAATCCTGGTTTTACACTTTCTTTTCTCCCCACTTTTGAGCCCAGCATGAATCCACTCACACAAATCCTACACTATCTGAGCCAGACCTCTTTTCTCTCTCTCGTAGTCCTGCGGAGAATCCTCTTATAAATGTCCCGGCATGGGTCTTGCTCCGCAGTGTGAACCTTTATTTTTTACCTCTGTGCGCCGCTGATCAGTGAGATCCGGACTCGGTTCCCGGGCTTGACGGCAGGCGATCACTCGGCTCTGTGGTTTTGACTTACTGAGCCATAAGAGAGGCATGGGGAGGAAGCAGTGGAAGCAGAGGATGAGAGGGAAGAGAGGGGATGAGGAGTGGGTATAGTTAGGTGGTTGGGAGAGAGACGGAAGGTGAAAAGATGCTGGAGGGATGTCCAAACATTGTGGCAGTTTCCAGGCGCGGCTGTGTGCTCTTTTTCCACTGAACCTCTTCAAAATAACCCCTCTGCCTGTCCTGTGTGTGTGTCTGTCTCTCTGTCTGTCTGCGTGTCTTTGCTGAGGGCCCGTGAACTCTAACCCGACAGCACCCGTCTCGTTCTTTTGTTTCAATCTTCGACTGAAAGTCGAAGATTTGGGAGTTGGGAGGCAAACTTTGGCTCACACCAACACAAAGGATCGTTACAGTAGTAAAGGCTTTTTTTTTTTTTTTCAGCTGTCAAAAAAAAAAAGGGAGGGGTGGGGGGACAAAAAGCTGAAGTGCCAGCAGCTGGACAGACATGTGTTTAGAGCAAAACGCAGCGCAACAAGCCGCCGGGAGAGAGTGAATGAGTCCCATTCAGCCTGATCCCAGCAATGACTGACTGCACCCTTACCAAGGGATTACACTGAGGAGAACATTACTACACACTTGTAAGAGGATTGTAACACACATAGAAGACACTACTACTGCTAAGTCACTGCAGCACACTTACAACACAAGAAGAACTGTGAATACCGCCTCCCAAGACTTCCTTAAAAAACAGCCATCAATTCCTGCCCTTTTTTTTTCTTTTCCTCCACCCATTTTTTCCACCCCTCCTTTCAAAACCCCTTCCATCCCTTCTGCAGAAGCCCTGGAGGATCCGTCGAGCGCTGGCGTTGTGGCGTGCGCCGTGATCGGCTCCCTCCTGGCCCTGCTATTGGTTGTCGCGCTCGTTGCCGTTCTCCTGAGCCGGAGTCGACGGCAGCAGAGGCGCGGCTACCCCGGCGGCGGGGACTCCGTAGCGGCCGGCGCTGGCGGCAGCAATGGTGGGGACTATGGCAACAAAGCCCGTCTGCTGTTCAGTGGGACTGGCAGCAAGAACGGGACGGGCGCGAACAACAACGGGCCCGTCTACACGTACCGGGAGGGCTGCGACGCCACGGGGACTCTGACAGAGAAGGAGAACGACTACCACCACCATCACCACCTCCATCATGCCTCAATGGGCAACCCCCCCACCGCCCACGACATCCTCCTCAGCGGTGAGATGGAAGAAGCCGACAGGAGGAAGTTCGACCTAGACGACAGCATGGAGGAGGACTACGACAGGTTCGGGGCCATCGGGGGAGGCAGGGACATGCAGCCCCCCGCCTACCACGTCCACAGAGGCCACGGCGGCGAAGAAGAAATGGACGTGTACCTCGACGACGACATGGAGTCTCAGAGGGACGGCTCCGTCATTTCCCGGACTGCCATTTATGTCTGAGGACAAGGGAGGGGTATAGGGAAAGGTGAGGGCTGAAAATAGTGATCGTGGTGGAGGAAGAGCAGCCCTCTTTGCCACCGAACAAACCGACACATCGGCCACCGAAAGAACCGACACATCGCCTCGATCAGCTAACCACCGACCCGCTTCACATTCAGCCTGATTAAAGAGAGGCCATCCTCTCTGCTTGATACCGGCTGTACAATTTCATGAAAGGGGACGGTGACGGAAAAACTTTCTATGGCCCTTAGTGGACTGTGGTTGATTATGTGTTAAATCATGGAGACAGATTTCATTCCATGTCAGCCGAATATAACAAAAAGGAAGAAAAAAAAAAAACGTACTGCAAAAAGCCAACAAAACCCACTCTGACGGCGATGCTGCTTATTGCTATACGTTCTCGTTTCTTCAGCTTTGCCAGTGTGTGATTGTGCTGAGTGATTTGTTTGTGTTTTTATACCTTTTACCAGAGAACGCAATCCGCAAAGACTGGGAGCGCCGCAACCACCATTCCATAATCAACACTACTCATAAATCGCCTTGCTGTTTCAAAATAAACTCTACATAAAACGGCTTGTGTGGATGTTGCCACTGTGCTGCAGACTCTCCTGACAGGACTTTTTTTTTCGGGCGGGAAGGGTGGTGGTGGGAAGGGGGTAACAGTGTCTCGGGTGTCCCGCCCCACACTGTGACACCACCTGGTCCCCTGACGGGTGCCCGCCGGGAGCGAGGGCTGCCAAACTGAGTAACATAACAGACAGTGTGTGCTACCGTGTGGCTGGCTGTGGTGTTGATGATGTGCATCGTCTATATATTGGGCGCCGTCTCGCTATAGCACAGTTGTTGTTGTTGTTCTTGTTGTAGATGTCGTTGGTGTCGTTGTTGCTGTTGTGTAATGGTGTTGATCTCGCTAAGGAAAAGACGCACCGGGAGCCTTGAGGGGGAGGGGGGGGGTTTCCACACAATACCACATTGGGTCGGTAATGACTCATTTAATGGATACAAACTCTACCAACTTTTCCCCCCCCCTTCTACTCTTTAAATATCTTCCCGTATTTCCTCCTCCTTTATTTCCTCTCTCCGTCTCGTTTCTTACTGTTCCACATGCATCCTGCCCCATTTGTGTGTTTTGCTGACGCTCTGTCCCACACGCATTACATCTCTCTCTCCCATTCTGCTTGTTCTTTATTTACATAATGGGCGGCTTAGACGAGTGCCGCAACGGCTGTGTGCAGGGAGAAGGGGACAACTTGTGTTTATATTCCTATCTGGGTCGCATTCAACGAGGCAGATACATTCACCGGCTTTGTTGGAGGCTGCTGTATTTCATGTATTCATATTCCCAGACTTGCAAAATGTTCTTAGGCTATGTGCGGGATTATTCCATGTTCTGCGTTACGATTGGACGGAAAGACACATTTCCAGAGGGGAAGTGAAATGGGCTGAATTAAATCTCAAACTCCCAACCTTTTTGTTTCTTTGATTGTTTTTCTTCTAAGAGATCTCTCACTTAGTTCAATGAACATGCAAGACTGGATAGGAAAATTGTAATTTTTTACTTTGATGATTGGGAAATCAAATGATTTGTAATTAATACTTCTTAGAATGGATTTTTTTTTGCAACACATTTGCTAATGCACAGCTCTGAAGTTCCTTGAACACATTTGCCTTATTGACTTCCAGCTTTTTCCTACTCACCGTCTTTTCGTTTTTTTCAGGGCCCCGAATTGGCAGTTTCTCAATTAACTGTTGAATTACCATAAAACTTCAATCAAACTCCAAGTCCCAATTAAATGTAGAGTCTCTTTCACTCACCGGTTGTGGCTACACGTCTTGACAAATAAACGCAGGTCTCAGTTGGCACTTCCCAACTTCCGCCCCTTTTCGCCCTGTGCTCCAATCACAGTTGAACCTCGGTCAACTTTTCCTGTTTGCTCGCATCGAGGTGAGGTTTTGCTCCCGGCCAAGAGGACGATTCGCTGCTGCCGGGGGCGGAGCTTTCCGCCTCCCGCCGTAGTTCCAACCATCGAAAACGAACCTGCATGGTTTTGCCTGATTTCTAGGGGTGTAACAGTTACCAAAATTCTCAGTTCGGTTCAATACGAAACAGTGGTGCCACGGTTCGGTATGTTTTCAATACAGCAAAAAAGCAGAAATGCCAAATCCTCGCTGGTGAGACTCTCAAGGGGGCGTGTCTGAAGAACATGGCTCTTCATCTCCATTCAGTAGTGAGGTAATGACTCGTAACAGTCAGGTAGCATTATGTAGTCCGTGACGTACGGCCGTCTGTTGTCAGAGCAACAGCGGGTGCTTCGGACATTTGGTTCTCTGTTTAGGCTTTTGTTTTCTTTAAAAAAGCAGGAATTATGGTCTGGCGAAATGAGCTTGTGAATGAGTTGTGTCACGTGGCTCAATAGCATTAAGCATGTTTGTACAGCCTGGTTTTCCACTCCAGAGTAGGGTCTCATATCCGCGGGTATACTATATATATATATATAACAATTGCCTTAGCGATTGCTTTAGCCCTGTTTGAATCGGTAAGGAATAGCTACCTAAACGCTGCGGGGATAGTTTGTAGCGTGTGTGCTGCTGTTTAGTTTAGTTTAGTTTAGTTTATTAGCTGGATCCCCATTAGCTGACGCCTTAGCGGTCGCTAACCTTCCTGGGGTCCACAGAAAGGACAAAATGTAATATATGCAAAACGTGCAAAACATGATGTGAAACAGTCTGTGCTGCTGTTGGTTTTCCTGCTAAGCTAGTTTAGCATAGCGTGCCTCTACCAAAACACACGAGCCTCACCAGAGTAGAATGTTTTTCTCAGACAGCATGTTGTCTGTGACGTTGAGTGGGTTGCCATGTTGAGCACAGTGGCTCCACCGAGAGAACATTATATTTCCCACAATTTAAGCTTCTGCATTTTCCAAATGCAGTATTATTCAAACGTATTTTTCGGTTCGTAATGCGTACCGAACCGTGAGCCTCGTACCAAACGGTTCAATACGAATATGTGTATTGTTACACCCCTACTGATTTCATTCCTTCGTTTATATTACTTCTTTAAGGCTATGAAGTAATTGTTGGTGTTTTTTCTTTTGATAAAAAAGACGTCTTGCACCCCAATGGGAAAAATTACCTGAGTAAAGTTTATCATCGTGAGAATATCCTTCCATCGCAAACTGTAGTCCTTGTTTCTTAAAGCTACGTTTAATCTAACACACACTGCGTCAACAAAGCTAAACCGAACAGGCGTCGCCATGTTTCTTGTTGTCGAGCTTGTCCGACCTAGCAACCGTAACTAAAGGGGGTGGGACTTAGGATCGGTCAATTAGACGGCGGGTCTGGTTCCATTGTTGCCACGAGGCAGTTCATTTTTATGGAAGTTCTTTAGATGTATAAAACCTCCCTGGCGACCCGTTTAGTTCAAAGCTGCTTGTATTGCACACACAAAAAAATCAATATAGTGTCAATATGGACAAGCTACACATCGGTTAGATTCCCCCCATTCAATTGTTCGGTTCTTTTCACAGAGACCATGTGCACCAAAGTATAATTCATTCAGATTTGCAGGCGTGGTAAAAAAGTTCCAACCTTTGAAGAGGTCATAAAGTCAGAATCTGTCCTTTCCTCGATTAGTAATTAGTTTTCTTAAGTCTTTAAGGGTCCAGCAATCAAAAGGATCAACAGATTTTTTTCATAAAATTGAATCCAAGTATTGAATATTGTCACGTGAAATCCATTGCTTGCTGTCTGCTGTTTTCGATTGTCAAACAAACTGCCCGTTAACCGTCATAAACGAAAATGTATCTTCTCCCTGCACCGTGTTGTTGGGTGTGCTTGATTTCCATTATCTTGCCGACTGCAATATATAAGTGTCCTCACCTCTCACTGATTAGTTTTCATCCATTTTTATTTGGGTCGTGTCGGTATACAGGGGGCCATAAATCCTCGGGTGCTGTAAAATGAGCGTTGTTAACCGTCTCGCCGCTAGATCAAATGTATTACATGAATTAATATGTTATTTGATAGCCTCATTTGGCAGATTCTCAGAAGAAATATTCATACGGGTTTAAATAAACAATTTGATAGTCTTTACTGAGCAAGAGTTTTGTGCGAAAGGAATTAAAGGTCCTGTCCCATATAGAAGCCTGTCCCAAATATGTGCCGGTTGAGTTCAGTGATCAGGCTTTCAAAGCTTGGGCTATTAATTGCAGTTTTACGGTATAGCCTTTGTCTTTTCTTTTTTTTTTTTGTCAGGATGGTTGTGAGGTGACACAGGGAGGCTCTGGGGAAATCTCTGCATCACAGGCAACACTCCTAGTATGGAGGGCCTGTTAAAAATGAGGAAAAAAACCGAGATGTGAGCGAGGCCACAGTTAAAGAGAAATGAAAGGGGAACAAACTAGACTGGTGCTACATGCTTCAGCAGCTGAACTGAGCACACCCGCCGCTTTTCAAGCACACTGTGTCACCTCACAAGCACACACTCACTTGCTGTAGACACACAGTTTTTGATCGACCAACTCCAGTGACTGGAGTCACTTTGCTAGTCGAGGGCACTGTGAGTAAAATCCCCCCCAAAACTGGTAATATTTATGAGAGAGGATCTGAAAAGGGAATCTTTAAGGAATGCCAGCACATTACAAGTGAATAAACATGATCTCATACTCATATGTCTCGTCCCATTTCATTTACTTATGTCATAACAACATATTGTGACAATAATTAAGATGTTGTAACTTAAAATGAATTCTGTGGGTTTAAGATGTGAACACAGTCCGTAAACTGATAAGCTGAGATGTTTCAAATTTGAAAATCAAGAACTTCAGCTGATCGATTTTTGTTGTTGTTGTTGTTTAGGAAGTCAGTTTCCGCTCTACTCTCCACCGAATCCTCAGCAGGTCCCTTGTTGTTGGTTGTTGTTGAACATTATACACCGTGCCATCTGTTATTCTGTAAATGAGACTGTTCTATCTGCTACGTTACAAATGTGTTTCATTACGTTTCACAGTGTGTTTGGACAGGTCGCCAATTCATCTCAAAGTAGCTGAAAAACAGCCATACTGTAACTACTGTTGTCACATGTAGTAGGCTTGTTTATTGTATCACTGCAGTACAGTTTGGAGTAAAGTATTCAAGTGTTTTTCAACTCTGCAGGGTACATGCATGCTCCAAGATCCGGACGAACCGCTTTGTTTGAGTTGCATCATTTAGATAACAATCGATGGTCTCCTTGTTACGATCTGAATCTACAATTTAAGGATCATTTATTACAGTTACTTTGTATGATACAAGTACCAAGTGCAAAATATCCTTTCTAATTGGAGTCAAATATGTTAATGTTTTCACCCTGATAATAAATTCCCAGACTTTTTGGAGCTCCATCTGTTTCCAGCACATTTACCCTCTATGTGGCCACTGTGTGCCTCAGCATATCTCTTTCTCCAGGGAGGTTTCTTGCAGCGGCATAATGCTAAACAGTCGACTGTGATCACAACGTTGGCACCTAATTAGTCCCAGAATCTTGTAGCATGCATCTACCCTCAGCGAGGAAACTCATCATCAGTCATGACTTTTCTTTTTGCACAACCCATTTTCAATAAAAGAAATAAAAAAAACCTCTCTGAAACAATTCTCTGTGGAAGAAATTGGTAATTAATTAAGCCGAGCCGTGTTATCGGTCTATAAATACCGAGACTCCCGTACTTCTTTCCTCAGCACATTTCACAGCACAGAGCGGCATTGTGCACCTGCTCGGTAGCCTCCTTAACAGATCTGCTGCAGGACATGTTTCAAGTTCTGCTAACTCGAGGAGAAGTACAGCCACCTATCTCAAGTTCAAACACTTTACGCGAAGGCCCCATATACACCTCGTATGTGGTCCGCTTGATCTGTATTTTCATCTCGATAAAGATTTACTTCTGGTCATCTGAACTATGCCTGTATCGTGATCACATCGAGCGACGCTCGTGGACTTGCTAGCTTCTCGTTCCTTTTGTCGGGGTTCGTTAAGCCAGCAGGAAGAGGCGAGGTTAGGTGACACAGTTGACGAAGGCCCTGTTCAGACATGGAATTAACATGCATCTTGGGTGATTTGATCACAAGTGGACGGCTCTAAGTACAGGTGTGAATGCTCCCAAGATGCATTGTGGACGCGTTGAAACCCGATTACAAAATATTAGGGACCCCTGTTATAGACTGTTGAAGTCCATCAAAATTCAGCCTGTGTAGCTAAATGTTAGGTTGCATGTAGGCTACACTCTATGGAGGTAATACAATAACTGCCAAACACTTGATTACCCCCACGTTGTCAACAGCTTCACTCCTTCCGTCCTAGGCATACTGTATCCACTGCATCAAGAGGCAACTCAATAAATTAGCCTGCAGAGATCTGACACCTGGCCCCCTGAACAGCGCCAGATTTTGTTCGTGCCTTACAGATTGCACGTTCACACGTCTGAGAACCAAACCCAATGCAATCTGTGTGCATTTACACACACGCTTCTCTCACCCAGATAAGTTATTCAAAAACATGTCCCATTTGTATGCCTCGTAGATGCTAATGGGGTCAAAAGAGTTTGGTACCTTCATCCATGAAACTGTGAAACATATCTTACCTTAAGATGTGTTAAGACTTGATATTAGCAGGAAAGATGAAGCTTCTTGGATAGTTTCATTCACTAAATGTAGGAGTTTAAAAGAGGCTGATATCAGAAAACCTTTTGAAAAAAGTATTTTTTATGTCGACGATCTTCAACATGCAACCTTGGAACAAATCTAATGGGGCTCAACAAGATTATTTATCTTTGGTGGGAATGAATTAGATTTAATCATCCTTAAATAAGACTTTATTGGTTTTCCCTGTTTTGGAGTAAGTAATACAGCTACAAGCGTCCCTCTCTGATCTTTTAGCCTGCCGCCCCCCCGCCTCGCATGGCGTATGCTCTGGGAGGTTGCAGTCCTGAGCGCGAGCCCTGTAAAAGTCTTGTCCTTGTTGCTGTGAGCGTAGCACCCATGCAAAGCAGAGGACGCGGTAACAGGTCACTTGGCTCTGTCGGGGAGGGGAGGATGGGGAGTGAGCTAGAGGTGCTCTATCTGGGAAATACCAAATAGGCCTGGAGAGAAAAGGGAGACTTTTTCTTCTCAGATCAGAGAAATCGAGAGTTCCAGAGGCGAGAGGCAGAACACAAACTGAAACTACAGCCTCTGCCAAGACTATGAAAATACCTTCTCTTTTTTCTTTGTAAGCCACCTGAGACCGAGAACATTTGAAACTCTGTCAAATATTCACCATCCAGCCTGGAGTTAGAGATGGACAGATTTGTCACTTGTGGTGCCCAATTGGTTGGCTGCGGCGTAAAGATGACAGAGAGTGTGTGAAAGGAAAAAGGGTTGGGATTTACTCCTCCGACAATGAAAGCTAGAGGTGGGGATGGAAGCCTCAGAGGAGTTCTTTCTGAGCTCCATGCCATCCCTCCGCTTGGCGATTGGCTGCTTCCACCCAATGCAAATTGGCAGTCCTCTTCAAACCCCGGCCAATTAGTAAAAAAATGGC